TGAGCATCATAGCAAGGCAGTCTGCAGTAGCTACGACCGAATTGTCCTCTTGTTCATTGCTTGAATGTAAAGAATGCAGTGACTTTAAAAACTTGATCGTCTTCAACGAGATCATCGAAAAAATCTATCGCTAATTATCTTCTTTGTTAGCTTTATTGTTCTGCAGGTATATATTCTCATACTTGAGGAAAAATAGATTTTCAAGCAAGCGTTTGGTACAACAATGTTGAATTGACTTTTACTCTGAGTTGAAAGAGGAGGGGAAAGATTTGAAGGCCGATCTCATTAGAAGAAGACGGAGGGAAGCCTTGTTGGGACGCTCAGTTTGATGCAGTGCAAAACTAGTTGGTTCGCTCTTGGCGCGTGGCAGTTGCGAAAAGCTTGATTAATATTTTTAAGGATATGGAGAGGGTTGAGGACCCAACTAATATATCCTCGAATTTGCTTTCAACCTACACAGTTATGTTGAGAAAATTAGCCAACTTAGTCGTATTGAGTAATTAAAGTGATGAGTCTTCTTAGAACAAAAAAGGTAATTAAGCGCTAATCATTTAAAACAAGACTATTTCTGCAGTTTTCTCATTGTTTAAGATAATCAACTTGGTTGAACTTACACAAATACATGCGTAAACACGTGCAATAATGTTCAACCATATGGAGTCATTGTTTGATTTTTTTCTTAAATAAGCAGATACTCAACTTTATTTAATATGAATTTAATTTAGCATTTAACTTTATCAACATGATTTGTGGGCTGATATATTAGCTATCATACTCGGCTACACAGCCAACGTGTCAGTAGCTGTGCATCAGATGATGCGACCTAGGCGAGATGGAAACTGTAGTCCAACCTGTAGGATTGATCCAATTTGGAATGGGTGCCAGATGAACTCCCATAGAATAGTAATACCTGCTCATTTGATTATGAAATAATGCAATGGTCAGTCCTTAAATCAACTTATGTAACCTAGGTTAACCATGTTCTTAGTCAATAATTATCTACGTACAATAAAAATAGAATTCTTAACATTTTGTGAATTTGGGACTGATTTAAGAATGCGTCCATGCTCCGAAGCTCTCTATAAAATGACGTGCCTAAAAGGGAGCCAATGTATATTTTTACGATATTCGAGGCTACGTGCAACCAGACGATTGTAGAGCAATGGTGAATTTTGACTAAAATTTACTTTGAACTTATAGAAGTGGGTTGACCTCGTTGCTGCAACTTGGTCTTGTTGTCAGGGTGACTATGTAGAACTCACCTAGCCCGAAGTCGTCTGCCAGAGCAGTTGTCATGATTCCAAGCATCAGACAGTGGAGTTGAGACATCCTCAAACGTTTCGGGCATCGTAGTCGGCATCGTCAGTCAGTTTTGCCATTTTTCGTACCAAGCTACGAACTCGTCAAAGAGACAAGTGAAGCCGTTTAAGAATGTACCAAGTCTACTGTCTGATGGTGGGAATGATGACAACTACTATGACAGACGACTTCGGACTAGGTGCGTTCTATATAGTCGCCCTGACAACAAGACCAAGTTGCGACAACGGGGTCAACCCACTTCTATAAATCGAAAAGAGACTGCGACCATACCAGAGGCCACAACATCTTAGTCTTCATATCTACAATTTACTTTGAACTGTTCCTCACCGTATGCCTCTTGGTCGAGAAAATAACTTTCTCAAAAAAACTCAATTTTGTCATCGCAGATTGGTAGAAAACCTGGCTTTCTAAGAATTCCTAAATAGATGAAGGCTTGAGTACCTTTCATTTCGTTTGAAAGTGTGAACGGAAGAGATTCGTAAGTTGACCTCGTCCCAAGTCAAGGGAGGGTTGCTATGACGATGTGACTCTAGATCAGCGTGAATAAGCCTTCGGCATAGGTTGGCAAACACAGCTTCCCACCAGCCTCTGGTAGTGCCCATTTACGCATCTCCTCAAGCGAAACTAAAGTAGCTCAAACAGCAATTTTGTATTGCCACCAAATAGCAACTTTCACTAAGAATTGTAGTTCGTTTAACTTTTATGCCTGAAATCACTTTCTTATCTGGTGCTCCCCAAAGTCTTTAGTTTTGAAGTATATTTCTGTATTTTTTTGAGGGTCGTCTTTACGACTTGATTTCACATTGCTATGATGCAGTCGACGATATGTCCTCCGTCGTTTTGGAGGTAGACGAGCTCATGTTCGCTTCAAGAAATGTCTCGAAAACCAGTTACTCTTAGTACATACCGAGATGGTTCTGTGTCTACCAAGTGTTGATGTCCAATTGGTAACTGCATAACCTTGCCTCTTCAGAAATACCGGCGTCATACGGACTCGCGAAGTGCTCGACCGTGAAAAGATCGCTCAGATCCCCTTTTCGGTGGTCGCCCTCAACGACCGTCTGACCGGCCGACCAGGTCTCGAATCACCACAACAGATGGGCCAGAATCGGCTGTCGAATCTGCATGGACCCAATGAAGCCCACCTCAATGACTCCAAAGCCGAGACCAGCGTGGTCATCAATCTGATCGACATCAACGACAATCCGCCGTTGATGGTCCCCATTGATGACGTCGTCTCGGGCACAAGCGTCGCCATCGCCTCGGCCTCATCTCAGACTCCGGCTGAGCTCATCTTTACACTTGACCGTTTTGATCCGATCAATCCTTGCCTCGACTTTCCCTACACATTTGTCGACGCGGACGAGGGTCGAAATGCCGAAGTCGTCATCACGTTGGAGGAGAACGCATTCTTTTGGCTACAGGCCGAGCACAATCTGCTCTGCGTTAAACCGGTCTCACCGGCCGAAGAGCGAAACTCGCAGACTCGGCCAACGAGTGAGTCGAGCCGAGGCAACGAGTCGGTTCGAGACGGCCTCGCAACGCGACCAACAGCGACTCTTCTGCCTGCGCCGGGTCGCTACATCCTGTACCTGGTGGCCCGAGACAACCCGGAAAACGCGACAGCCGTCCTACGACGCCAGTACCAGTTGCGTGTGATTGTCCGCGAGACGAGTCCCGACAGTCTGCCGCTCCTCTTCTCCGCCTCCTCTTCAGATCTGGCCTCTGCCGGTACCGCCGCTGAATCCGCCCTGTTAAAAGCCAATCGACGATCTGAAGTCTCCGGACCGCCACAATGGCCCGTTTCCTCTGGTCTCGGCACCACGGGCCGTCTGGAGTCGCAGAGACGGCAGCCGGTTCGAGCAGGCTCGTCACGACACTCAGCGACTGGTGACTTTGCGGCTGAGTCGTCGATGTTGTCGGGCCCTTCTGCAGCATCTCTGGCCGCCATGGCGACAGACCGGGGTACCGGCGGACGAAGGAGCAGCGGAGAATTGTATGCCGATGCAAGTCAGGCGCAGGCGGCGGTCACTGCTAACATCAGCAACGGCGGAACCTTTGGAGAACTCCGCAGCATCACGGTTGTTGCCGTCCTTGTATCTTTAGCTGGAATTCTTTGTCTCGTTCTGTTGATGGTCGTCATTTCTTTGAAACGCTGTTCACGAACCGAGAATATGCGCCGGAATCGTGCAGGTTTGTTGTGTAATTTTGTTCGCTTTAGCGGACACCTAACTCTCGAGTAGTTGAATCCATTTAAGGTGCCAGTTGTTTGACCAACTATCATGAATAGTGAATACTTTAAGCAAAAAGCACCATTCTACTTGTTAAATAGTAAGTAATATTGGGTTGGGGAGGTCTGTTCAGTTTAGCTTAGTATAGCTTTGTATATTGTTTATATAAATTGCTTTAGGATAAAATGTATAAACAAATAAATATAGACAATTAACTTCAGGATATATAATACCGTTAAACACTTTCTTGTTTAAGGTAAAGGGTGGTTGCTACTAAAGGACGTCTAGCTCCATTTTTTTCAATAGTCTGACAGAAAGTAATAATCACAATAAGTCGTATCTGGGAGTATATATATATATATATAATAAATCTTACTATGTAAATTATCTTATACTAATTTTCATGCTCAATGCAGAATGTCGTTTTCGCCAAAGAAATCAGACCTATTATGAACAGCTAGACTATACTTTCTTGCGAAAGCAACCACTTAAACATGATACTCACCTGAGTTAAATGGTCATAATGAATATTACTTGCGACCACATATGGAACTATATATATATATATATATATATTATATATATAAGGTTTTTATTAGCTCCATATATAGAATGATTATTCATTATTATTCTCAATTTGTACCAAACAACTAACTAGGCTGAGATAACTGGTTGAATGATTACTTTTAAAAAAAGGACTAAAACTGTTCACAATGGGCTTAAGTCCCTTCGCAAAAAACACGCCCTACCTTGAACAATAATAGCCTTTTATCATTCCATATTAAATGAGTAAACATTATATTTACTTTATTCTGGATGGCTGAGCTATTATCTCGGGAACATAAGGCTACCAAAGATAGGAAAAAAATTAAATTCCCTTACATCCTAAGCTTTTGAATTAGCTTTCCTAATTGATGACAGTCTTAGACAAACTTGAATGCAGTAAAGCAGGAGGAAATTATTTTGGAAACCTCTTAAATATTCATAGCCCTATAAATTTAATTATTTAAATGATATTTGCAATATAAAATTTATCTTATATATCTATGCATAAAACTACAAGTCTAAAATAAAAATGGCGCCATCTTCATCCTTGGGTCTGCAAAGGATATGAAATAGGTTCCTTACTGCCACGTTTTGCCGTAAATAATAAAATATCGACACGTCTCTTTACTTGCTTAAACCTTTCTCGTACAGCTTGCCTAAGAAATTGATAAGAGTGTTTAGTCACTCATTATGCTAATTGAGTGACTGATTGAGAAGAATTCACTTTATTTAGTAAGAGTAACATTTAAAAAAGTGTCCAGCAAGTTACTGTCCAAATTAGACGTCGTTTATCTGCCAGAGACAAAATTTAACCTCCCAGCATCTAGTTTTGTCCTGAATGCTCAGTTAAAATGTATTAACTTATTTCTATTATTTTATCTCTTACACTATCAAATATTAAGGAATCAAAATGTTTAATTAAAAGTATGCTATCTTTTGAACCATTAATGGTCCTTTCTAATTCTAAACAAAATAAGTTACATTCTAATCATGTTTAAATTTGAGTTTCACTCATAAACAAGTAAATGTATTGCCTTATCTACCAATTAAACTGAAAAATATCAGCAAAGCTAGTTCACCACAAGCGCTTTAGTCATATCTTCTTTAGTAAACAATAAATCTGCTTGTATAGATGAGGCATTAATTCAGTGAGCAAACAAAATATGAGCGAACGGGATAATTAATCATTTTCTTATGCTTTCCCTTTTATGCCAAAAAATCACGTTTGCTAGGTAGCAACATGCATTGTGGCTGGATCTGTCCTTTCAATATTTTAATTCCCCAAACCTGAATCTTGTGCAGACAAAGTTATCGTAAGGGAATTTTGTATCCTTGATGGGGAGGTTTATGGGTCTACTTAATTAAATGCAGATATTACCATAATTAATGCCTTATAAATTACTTTCTACTAAATATAACTATGAGTAACTACAATAGCGCAGAGTAATGAATAACGAAGAATACCACCGGAAAGTGTGTATAGGTTATATTAGCACGTGGATTTTGTATGCACGCTTCATATAATTACTCTACCTGATAAATGACACTAGTGAATTTTCGTAAGCCACTATTCTGCCATGAAACATAAATTATTGTTGAATAAATATTTTCCAGTTATAAGCTAAAAATATAGGCGAATTAACTCATAATATCCGAACGAGAAGTAATCTATATAACCCAGTATAGACGTCGAAAAGAGAGGGTGTTTTTGTGGAATCCGGCTTTGAAAGTCTATAGAATACATTAAGGCTGCTGACCCGAAAATTCAGTTATAGACTTCGAATATATTTGGGAGAACGACCGTATGTGTCTTGTCCTGACGATCTTTTTCCCCTTTGTGGTTCAAAGTGGATTCTCATTAAATGGTTTGATTTGGTAAACGTCAAGATTTACAGATGTGACTTATTTAGGGTGTCATGAATGTGTTTGACGGTATAATTTCTGCCACCAGTCAAATTGCATAGATGCCCTAGTGCTCTTCATTCTCTTGCCATTCATTCTTTTCATCTCCGTACACACCGCAACAACGCCTAAGACAACTTTGCCTACTCCGTACGAGCTAAGAGAAAGCAAATTACAATAAATCTTTCTAT